TAGCTTTAACCGGCAAACTTTTTTGTGGGTGGCAACACTAGGCGAATCAGCTGTTGCTGCGCTCTTCTTTGTTTATTTAAACATTTAATTTTGTGATTTTTTGAATATTGCACAGAAATCCACCTGCACCGTTCCCATTATCACTGCGACAAAAAAGAGCAAAAAACGTAGGGCGATGGCCGAAAACCAACAGCAACAACAAAATAAGTTATTATACGTGAGTATACGTGGTTAAATTGTCTTGAGCCCAAGTGACAAAAGAAAAAATTCATTTGAATTATAGTTGAATCCCCTGACATTGGAAGCGAACTTCTTTTTGGAAACATTAGAAGAAGTTAATCGCCAAAATCAACTTCAACTAGATCCACATTTGACGCATCTACTGGAGCGCATTGTTGTTGGTATTGAAACATTTTTAGACAAGAAGCCTACGTACATAGTACCCAAGAAAGCGCAACAGGTCTCCCAAGAGCATCCAAATATAACATCAGATGCTGGCGGACTAACCTTTGTGCCGCCCAATGAGTTACTGAAAATCAAGAGAACATTTAACTGTACCGCTTGCACGTACCGCATCGTAGGGACAACAATTAGCAAAGCAGTGGCACATCTGGCTGAACAACATCCGAATCCGAATCCGAATCCTCATTCTACACAAAATGGCAACGTTAATGAACAGCGCCCGATGACTACGAAGCAAGAGAAAAAACGAGCAGAGGTGGAAGCACGCACCAAGTTGAATGTAAATCTGCCGAAAAGTAAGTGATAAATAGTTATAAATTAACATGCTTTTAACTATTTTATTATTGTTTCTCTTCAGAGGTTAAGGCCCTGGCACTGGATGACATGAGTGACATGATTCGCGATAAGTATCAGGTTGCGGATAAGCTGAAAGTAATGCCCCAGTATGATAAGATTGAAGAGGATTTATGTAGGCTGATTGCGCCCGCGTTTGCTAACGATCCAGTTCGAATATATAAATTTGGTTCACGGATAACTGGCATTGGAACCCGCTCATCAGATTTGGATGTATTCATAGACATTGGTTTGTATATAATAATGAGTTCCAAAAGTGATTGTTTAATTATAAAACTAAACATTTAAAACAGGCAACAGTTTTCACCTATTTGAGCATCGAGCTGGCAAGAATACCATTGCCAAGCTTCGGGTACTGCGGGGATTGTTCGTAGACAGCGACGACTGGCGTATAATTAATGTAGAAATTTCATCTTTCATTTTATAAAGACTGTTAATTTTTGTCCCTTTGTTAATTAGGTAATCGAACAGGCGCGTGTGCCCATAATTAAAACGTGTCATCTATCATCTGGCATTGAGTGTGATATATGTTTAAATAGCTTGGGTTTTTGCAACACAACCTTACTCAAATATATATTCGAGACGCAGCCATTAGGTAAGTTAATTAGATATTTGTTTAAAAAAATAATATTCGATCAAATTTATTTTTGCAGCCCAGTATATGTGCATTTTCTTAAAAACCTGGCTGGAGCGCTGCAGGTTGACAGAACAAATAACCACATATAGCATGGCCCTAATGGTTATCTATTACTTACAAAGCAGACAGCTACTGCCATCGATTGCATTRCTACAGCAGGGGGAATCAATGTCTACAAAGCAATTTGTAGGACGTGAGTGCTGTCGCTGCTGATAATAACRWTTAACAATTAGCTGTACTTTCCCCTTTAAACGTTTCGATTGCTTGCAGCTTGGATTACGAACTTTCAACAGAAGTCACTCAGTGAACTGGGAATGCAGCAGATAGAGGTAACAGTGCCCGTGCTCAAAGAATATTTAAAAGATTTCTTTAAGTTCTATGCAACGTTCAACTATGAACGAAATATGGTTTGCCCATATTTTGGCAAGAAACATATACTTATTTCGCGCATAGAAAAGGAGATGCCGAAAAGGTAAATAGAGATTGATTTATAAGTATAAAATTAGTCGCTGACTGATTTACTTTTCCATTTAGGTATGTTGATTATGCAAATCAAAATCCAGAGTGCGCATTACAACTTCGGAAGCCAATGGTTGTTCAAGATCCGATACAATTAAATCATAATGTGACAAAGGCGGTGACGAAATATGCGTTACAAAAATTGATTGATTACTGCGAGCAAACAGAGTCGTTACTTTATAGTAGTGTATAAACCTTTTTCATAAAATCTTTCAAATTATTAAATGCTAATTGCCGTGATAGAATCAAGCAGAATCGTATTTATTTAAAACCTTTGGTATTGCGGCATTTTATTACACAGTTGTGTGACTGTGTGAGCATTATAAAAACAAATAGAAATACATAAATATTGATAATGAACACACAATTACAAACACACATAGTACTAAAATTCAAAAGCGCCAGGACTTGGGCCACAGATCAAATGTTGCACTTAGGAAAACAATTGCAAAGACTATTATCAAGATGGCCCCAAGAAGTGAGAAGCGATTGTACCAATGCTGTTTGCTCTCCTGCATCATGGTATAAATGCGCATGGCAGCTTCCTCCGTGGCAAGTATGCTGCCATTGTTATCAACAACAAAATGTGACTTCTCACACTTTTTCTCTAGCGGCATTTGCGACTCGATCCGATTAACCGCCTCCGTTTCGGACAGTTCATTGCGTGCCAACAATCGTTGCAGCTGTTTTTCCGAGTCACTGCATTTTAATAAATATGTTTTATGTATTATTAAATATATACATATATGCAAAAAGGTAATTGCTAGGCCTACCAGGACACAGTCACGATTTTGTGTATAAAATCCATAAGTATGCCTGTCTCAAAGAGTAATGGCAAGTCCAGAACGATCCAAGCATGACCAGACATAAATAGTTTGAATACACGCCAAAAGATAGTGCGATGTATTACGGGATGCGTAATCTGATTCAGTTTCCCACGCAATTCCTTATTCTCAAAGATCATTCGTCCTAGTACGGCCCGATTTAATTCTTTGCTGGGCAGCAATACTTCGTCACCAAAGGTGGCACGAATCTTCTGCCAGCATGGCTGACCTGGTTCTACAACTGTGGGGGCGTCACGTATTGTTAATTTAAGCTGAGGTACGCTAATTGAGCGGTCAATTACAACATCCCGTAAGAGATGTATGACTTACTCTCCCTAGCTATTTTATCCGCATCAATAACTGGAATGCCTTGGCGCTCAAAGACTTTAGTGACGGTACTTTTCCCCGTAGCTATTCCACCAGTTACAGCCACAATAAACATATCGAAGCAAAAGAAATAAGTATTTTGGAATGTTTTACAGCCTCTTCAGTTATTGTTGACAGTTGTGTAAATTTTCGTCTTGTAATCGGTATAAGGTTGTGAACTTATCGATTTGTTAAAAAGTTACGTCAGACGTTTTCCAGCACTGAAAAGCATATATTTTTAATGTTATACAGCACGTTTTTTCATTGAAAAGTCAGCCATCTTTAAATTTAATACATTTTCGTTCTCGTGCGTCGTTTTCATCAGTTGGCGAAATTTTCACGCGTTTGTGTTAAAAAGTTGTTAGCAGCGCGCATTTAATATCAGTTTCAGGAAACTTTTAAGGATCGCTTTAGCATCTGAAAAATAAACATCAAATAAGAAAAATGGTGGATAAAATTGAAATGAGTTTGGATGATATCATTAAGTCAACGCGCTCACAGAAAAAACCGCAGGGTGGTCGCGGTGGGCCGGGTGGAGCTCGCCGGCCTGCTGGTCAACAGCGTTTTGGTACTGGAGGACCACGTCGTGGAGGCGGACCGGGAGCCGGCTCCCCACGTAAAGCGGGYCCCGCTAGTGGTGCCGGCGGTGTGCTCAAAGGTCGCCGCGGTGGTGGTGGCGGCGGTAGTGGCGTCATACAGAAGCCTCGGCTCGCACGGGTAATTGAACGTTACGTTTTGTCATGTAGAGAGCCAAAAAGCAGCACAATATCCATGCACATGCATAAAAAGGACAGCCCAAGTTGGAAACTCATGATTCTTAGCCAATTTCACATAAAATGATTATAAACAAACACAGATATAAAATATGCTAACAGCTGCAAATACACGGATACAAAATGGCCACCGTATGCAGAATAAGCGGTATCTGCACCGTTATTTGTACCATGTACCATGTGGACAGACAGCTGCAAAATGGCGGCTTCTWGTGGGCAAAAAAAGATTTGAAAAAATATTAACAAACAAAAACAATTCACTACCGCACTGTTTGGTTGTGTTATGGATGACGCGGCAACATCAGAACTAGAACTACACAACACAATTGCGTCGAAATCGAATTCATTTATCTATTTAAAAGTTTTACAGCACAACATTTCGTTTGAGGATTTCGCGCTTGTTGCGTTTTTTTTCTTTGTAATCCCCGTTTATAACACGTTTAATATTTTTTTACGCTTGCCAAACCAAGCAAAAAGTGGCAGTCAATCAATGTACATTCATGCATATTTAGTGTTTCTGCATTGCTTCGATGGCGTCCTCTTGATGTGGCTAGGATACAACAACTGCTGCTGCTGCTACTACATCTCCCACATATTTGATCAGAAACTTCTCCCCACGCGTTCCGTTCGAATCAACCAACAAATCTTCTACCTAATCCCCCCTTTAGGGTGATGTAAACAGCGCTTGGAAACATGATATGTACGATGGTCCAAAACGAAATAGTAGTGCTGGCAACAGTACAGGGCCAACACGTTTGATAGTCGGCAATTTGGACTATGGAGTTTCAAATACGGACATTAAGGAGCTGTTCAACGACTTTGGACCGATGAAGAAAGCTGCCGTGCACTATGATCGGTCAGGTCGCTCGTTGGGTAAGACAATGCGTACACATTATCTGTAGAATGTCTTACATAATATGTTTGTATAATTTGGTATAGGCACCGCTGATGTTATATTCGAGCGTCGCTCTGATGCCCTTAAAGCAATCAAGCAGTATCATGGTGTACCCTTGGACGGTCGTCCCATGACCATTCAGCTTGCCGTATCAGATGTTGCCGCACTTACACGTCCAGTGCCCTCCGATGATGTGAAACGTCGTGTGGGCAACGCCGCAGGATCGCAATTTAAACGTGGTGGTATGTACGACTAAAGAAAAAAGGAATTTCTTCTATATCACGAATTATTGATATTTAATTTCAGGCGGCCAGGCAGGGGGTGGACCACGTCGTGGTAGTTTCCGACGCCCAGCTGGTGCAAAACCAGCTGCTGGCGGCCAACGTCGCGAGAGGAAAGCTGCTCCAACTGCTGAAGAAYTAGATGCTGAATTAGATTCGTATATTAATGACATGAAGATCTAATTAAATTTAGTCTGAACACTTAGCCTAAACACACAATATTGGACTTAATATTATGGTTYAACAACAAGAACAATTCAACGAACCGAACTTGTTCGAGAACAGCTTTAGTCATAATATCTTGCATAATTTTTCATTTAAATTATTCATAACGCTGTTTGGGTTCGCGCATTAAATGATTTGTTAAATATCTCGATGTGGCGCCCTTCTAGTTAATAATTCATAAATACATACTGATTGATGTATTTATTCGTAAACTAATTTTACTTCATAAAAACACATTGACACAACGGTCATAATAATTGTATAATCAGGTATAATAAATATTAGATATAATACGAAAACTCAAGATAAATCACTGTATAATTTGAATGTATGTCTTCGAATGTACGTGCCACTAGAATAAAGCATTTCAGACCCTGACAAATATATACAAAAGGAAGACAAATGTGCATTTTAACTGCGATCTTTAGACCAATATTGCTCGACATATATTATTCAGCAGCTAAGGGTGGATAACATGGAGATTTTTTATTTAATAGATCAAAGTTGATTTTTGTATTATCTTGCCTTACTCATTCTGAGCCAGAATATAACAAAACAATTTAAATTTTAATTTTAATTATTTTTATTTTTTGCAATAATACATATGTGTAATTATAAACGATTTTAGAACAAATTTTGCAGACTGTTTCAAATTTCAATTGGACACTTAAGTACAAATGCAAAGTTTGGTTCGATTCTCTAATGTATTGTACGTACGTTAGAGTTGTTTCTTTTATCGGGGCGGATTCGCGAGTCACTTAAAGTTTAAACAATCGTGTATGTCGACTTAAATAGCTTGCTTAGTAGAACAAAAATAAAACGAAGAAAATAAAATTAGAGAGCGGGATTAAGTTCTGCAATCAAATCGCAGTATCTTYTAAACATTTTGCATAATAGCCAATTGGAATTTAAATATGAATGCATAAGCTATATATGTATATGTATATTAAGCGATTTATATTTATAGATGTATAATGGGATTTAGGATGCCTTGGTGTGTGTTTGTGTGTGAGAGTGTATGCATATGCATGAGTGTGTAAGAGCGTCAATAAATGCGTAGCCACACATGTAAACTATTTTGCTGGGCTTCTCTACCAGAAACCGCCCGATGAGTAACCACCGGGAGGAACACGTCCGCGCGGCTGATCATTTGTCGCCTTGTTGCCATTGGTACTGGGCGTCTCTTTGGGCGGGCTGACAGGTGCTGGTTTTGGCTCCTCCTTTTGATTGGCTGCCTCATCACGTAGCTTTTCCACTACTTTGTTTGCATCGGTTGAGCCAATGCAGGCATTTAAATTGGAAGAGTTTTGCTGATTGAATTTCGGGCGTGGTGCATTCACTGAAATTTCAGGCTCCGAAAAAATGTTCGTATGTCCGCCACCTGGGGGTTTGAGTACACGGCTGGAAGGACGAGCACTGGTACTCAAGCCAATTTTCAGTTCGGTGGATGTCATAATAACTGTTTATTAGTATTAGCTGAAATCGCACAAAAAAATTAAAATATATTAATAGTACGTAGATAAACATTGATTGATTTCTTTTTTAAAGCCAGCAAATAGCAATTTTTTTTTTATTT